CAGAGGGTCCAGAGGGTCACAGAGGGTCTCAGAGGGTCCAGAGGGTCTCAGAGGGTCCAGAGGGTCACAGAGGGACGCAGAGGGTCCAGAGGGACTCAGAGGGTCTCAGAGGGTCCAGAGGGACTCAGAGGATCTCAGAGGGTCTCAGAGGGTCCAGAGGGTCACAGAGGGTCTCAGAGGGTCCAGAGGGTCTCAGAGGGTCTCAGGGGGTCTCAGAGGGTCTCAGAGGGATTCAGAGGGACTCAGAGGGTCTCAAGAGGGTCTCAGAGGGACTCAGAGGGTCTCAGAGGGTCCAGAGGGTCTCAGAGGGTCTCACAGAGTCTCAGAGGGTCCAGAGGGTCCAGAGGGTCCCAGAGGGTCTCACAGAGTCTCACAGAGTCTCGCAGAGTCTCAGAGGGTCCAGAGGGTCTAACAGAGTCTCAGAGGGACTCAGAGGGTCCAGAGGGTCTCAGGGGGTCTCAGAGGGTCTCAGAGGGTGTCAGAGGGTCTCACAGAGTCTCAGAGGGTCAGGAGGGTCTCACAGAGTCTCAGAGGGTCCAGAGGGTCTTAGGGGGTCTCAGAGGGCTCAGAGGGTCTAAGAGGGACTCAGAGGGTCCAGAGGGTTTCAGGGGGTCTCAGAGGGTCTCAGAGGGTCTCAGAGGGATTCAGAGGGATTCAGAGGGTCTCAGAGGGTGTCAGGGGGTCTCAGAGTGTCTCAGAGGGTTTCAGAGGGTCTCAGAGGGTCCAGTGGGTCCAGAGGGTCTCAGAGGGTCTCAGAGTCTCACAGAGTCTCAGAGGGTCTCAGAGGGTCCAGAGGGTCTCAGGAGGTCTCAGAGGGTCTCAGAGTCTCACAGAGTCTCAGAGGGTCTCAGAGGGTCCAGAGGGTCTCAGGAGGTCTCAGAGGGTCTCAGAGTCTCACAGAGTCACAGAGGGTCTCAGAGGGTCCAGAGGGTCTCAGAGGGTCTCAGAGGGTCTCAGAGGGTCCAGAGGGTCACTGTGTGTCTCAGAGGGACTCAGAGGGTCTCAGAGGGTCACAGAGGGTCTGACACTAACTGACAGTCACAGGATGATAACTGTTGTCATGATTGTCTGCAGCTTCAGCAGCTCCTGCTGTCAGAAACTGCAGCAGAGTCCAGCTCTGCTCCCACATCTCCTCACATCATCTTGTTGAGTCTGCTGGTGTCATAGAGCTGATCCCAACAGAACCAGAACCAGAACCAGA